TTTACTTCAAAGGTCTTGAGCCATAGGCCAAAGTGAGGGGTAACTCGGAGGAAGGCCTCGCACACGACAATAAATGTCGTGATATGAAGAAAGGAGTCCGGAGCCAGATCATGGAAATCTAGCCCGTAGTAAAACATCAAGCCCCTGACGAAAGGATCCAAAGCAAGGCCTAGACCTCGGAGGAAGTGGGAGACGAACATGACGCTCTCGTTGGGCTCGGGGGAGGGGATGGCCTGCCCCCGGGGAGGCAGCCGATGCGAAATCTCGGCGGTCGGATATCTGGCCTCCCTCAACTTTTTGATGTCTTCTTCCGTGACGGAGGAAGGCACCCATCGGCCTTGAAGGCTAGATCCGGACATGACTAAAGGTTCGGAGCACCTGACTTGAGCTTTGGGCGTTTGAGCTTGAGGCGGGGGAAGGATTCGATTGAGCACGAGAGAGAAAAATAAAAGCCTTGTCCCTTTATAAAGAGGGTGAATATCAAGCGTCCTCTCCGTGTCCGTTTGGACTTGCCTATGATTTAGGAGTCCCAGAAGCGTTTGGGTTACCCACGCCCGTATTGATGAGAATCCCGGAATAAGGGGACACGATCTCTGCTTTGACAAGACGTGCCAAGGAAACCGCCTCGCATAACGCGCTGAGGTGGGACAATGAAACGACTTGGATAAAGTCTTGGCCGTGGTGTGTCATGCTACGGCGTACGTCAGCAGATTAGACTTGTGTAAATATTATTCTCTCTATGTGGAAACTTATTTTGCAGAGCCGGACACTATCTTTGTGTTCAAAATCTTCTATGAAGTACTTGGAGGAGGAACCCGCCTTGCAATGCCGAAGACAATCTGCACGGCGGACTCGTCGTCATTGAAGCCTGGTTCAGGGGCTACTGAGGGAGTCCTGGATTAGGGGGTGTTCGGATAGCCGGACTATACCTTCAGCCGGACTCCTGGACTATGAAGATACAAGATTGAAGACTTCTTCCCGTGTCCGGAAGGGACTTTCCTTGGCGTGGAAGGCAAGCTTAGGCGATACGGATATTCGGATCTCCTACCATTGTAACCGACTTTGTGTAACCCTAACCCTCTCCGGTGTCTATATAAACCGGAGGGTTTTAGTCCGTAGGACAACATAGACAACAACAATCATACCATAGGCTAGCTTCTAGGGTTTAGCCTCTCTGATCTCGTGGTAGATCTACTCTTGTACTACCCATATCATCAATATTAATCAAGCAGGACGTAGGGTTTTACCTCCATCGAGAGGGCCCGAACCTGGGTAAAACTTCGTGTCCCTTGCCTCCTGTTACCATCCGGCCTAGACGCACAGTTCGGGACCCCCTACCCGAGATCCGCCGGTTTTGACACCGACATTGGGCCTCATGGGCCTAATGGTGGAAGAGAGGAGGCAGGCCAAGGTGTGGCGCGCGCCCCCTAGCCCAAACCGAATTGGACTAAGGCTAGGGGGGTCGACCCCCACTTTCCTTCTCTTCTTCCTCTCATTCCTTCTTCTCCTACTAGGACTAGGAAAGGGGGGAACCTACTCCTACTAGGAGTAGGATTCCCCCCCCCTGGGCGCGACCCTTGTGGCCGGCCCTCCTCCTCCCATCCTTTATATACGGGGGAGGGGGGCACACCATAGACACACAAGTTGATCTTTAGCCGTGTGCGGTACCCCCCTCCATAGTTTTCCACCTTGGTCATATTGTTGTAGTGCTTAGGTGAAGCCCTGCGTCGGTAACTTCATCATCACCGTCACCACGCCGTCGTGCTGACCAAACTCTCCCTCGGCCTCAACTAGATCAAGAGTTCGAGGGACGTCACCGAGCTGAACGTGTGTAGATCGCGGAGGTGCCGTGTGTTCGGTACTTGATTGGTTGGATCGCGAAGACGTTTGACTACATCAACCGTGTTACTAAACGCTTCCGCTTTCAGTCTACGAGGGTACATAGACACACTCTCCCCCTCTCGTTGCTATGAACCTCCTAGATAGATCTTGCGTGATCGTAGGAAATTTTTTGAATACTGCGTTCCCCAACAAGGCCTACCCTTGTGTGGGCCCTATACCTTCATCCCATGTGTTGCAGTCAACCCCCGCCATAACTGCCACTCATTTGCAGCAACAGCGGCAGCGCCCCGCGAGCTTCTGCTCCTATCGCCGGTACCTCACCTCGTAGGATCCCGCATGCATTGATGCTTCTTTGCAACATCGCCGCCACTGCCTATAGGACAAAGATTGTAGCGCGACAGACATTGCGTGTGAGGGATGCATAACGGTGGCCGCAAAGCCCTCTCCTGCTTGTAGTCGCCACTCCCACGTCACCAGCAACTGCAGCGCGGCAGATGTTGCCAATGAGGGATGCACAACGGTAGCCGTGGTGGCCTCTCCAGATGGCAGCCCATGCCACTTTGCAACGTCGCCGCCGCTCCCTCATCACCAACGATTGCAGCGCAACAGTTGTTGCCTGTGAGGGGTGCGCAACATGGCCGCGGTGGCCATTCTGTCTTACATCCGGTGCTGCTTTGTAACGTCGTGACAATCCCTCCGGACTGGTGACTACAACACGGCGGATGTTGAGCGTGAGAGGTCTGCAACGGTGGCCACGCTACCCTTCTGGCTTGTAGTCAATGATGCTTCGCAACAACGCCAACGCTCATGCGGCCCAACACGATGGTTGTTGTAGCTCTCCTGGAACAACGCCGTGCAGCACCGTCGTCGTGGTGTTGCTCTGCATCTCGACGGGAAGGCTCGCAACACCGTGACCCCTGCGCATCACCGGTCATCGTTGTTGTGCCGCCCGCTCACAGCCCCTCCCTCATCTGAAGTGGTGGCCACCGGTGTGTGGTGGTGCCCTGTCGAATCCTCAACCTACATGTGGGGTGACGGAGATAAGGCAAGGGCGGCGACTAGTATGGAAAGGGTGCAGAGAGCAGCATGGAGTGGCACGCACTTGAGTCTGGTGTGCAGCCGCGAGATTCGTCCATGGAGATGACAGCGACGAGCGGAGTTAGCTAAGAGGGGCGGAGAAGATGTGTGGTGGAGATGAATAAGGCATCCTTTGATTCACAAGATTTCTAGAGGAATTTTAGAGAATAAGATTTTTGTAGGAAAAATTCTTTGGTGACCTTTGATTTAAAGGAATGAAATTCTATTCCTGTACAGAATTTCTTTCTTTCCTTCATGTTTCACAAGAAAAAAAAAGAGGTCCAACTTCTTGAAAAACTTCCCTGGCGCAAATGACGCGTAAGTGTGCAACTGTTCCCTCGCTCTCACCCACTAGGAAACAAAATCGGGCCCACATCCATCCATCCCCTTCTCTCACACAGAACGGCGCAACGGACGGCCGAGCGACGCGGCCACATGCGGACAGTGGCCAGCAAACACCGGCAAGCTAGAGAGCATCTACCGCCGACCTGCTAGCCCTCAATCTCCAGCGGCATCAATCTGCTGCAAATCTCTTTAGATTTAGATCATATCTCTTAATATTCAGACCTGATGTTAATTAATGGAGAAATAGTCCAGTCTAGCTTGCCGGTATGAGTTGCCCCAAGCAATTTCCCGTATCTTGAGTCTTTAGTCTCTTCGCTCTATTTTCTTGAAAATGTGATGTATTGAGGTAAAAGATGGTAAAAGAAGCAATCGATGCTCACTCAGAAGTACAAAAAATTGGATGGATTCAAACTCTTTTTCTTATGAGCAGAATGTTCACCTTTCCTCGCACTTTATTTTTTGTCTCAAAGAGTCAAAGGTGAATTTTCTACTCACTGTTTATATAACCTCTACTTCATAATAAAGTACTCCATTCGTCTTAAAATAAATGACTAAACATTGTATTAAATTTAGTACTAAGTTAGTTTAATATATTGAGTCACTTATTTTAAAACGGAGGGAGTAACAAGTAACAGTACAAATTTTACCATCTCACATGTCCCATTATATGTCTAGTTACTCCAAACTTTGAAAAAGTAACAGTACATATTTTACTAACTGCTAGTTGCTTCAAACGTTGAAAGAGTATTTCTTTATGTTTTTTATATGTGTTCTTATCCTATGAATCAAATGATATTTTATTTTCTATTCCTATGGTCTGAGCACTTATAGGATTCAAGATACATGCACCTTATTTCTTATATCTTTTCTATTCTTATGCAATTCTTATGCTATGAACCAAAGATAGCCTAAGTTGGGATAAGGATCGGACGACCCTAGGTCCGGTTTTTCGGATCGGACGACGACGGCGTCTTGGTGTCATTTTTTTTCGTGAAGGCGTTGTCTTGTTTGCTCGCGGTGTCCTCGGTGCTAGATGTGAAGATGTTGGTCGTCTAGTTGTTGCTTGGGTTGCTTCCCAGGTTGGCGAGTTTAGCTGTGTTTTTTTTTGTTTGGGTCGAGCTTCTCATGTCTCTTTGTTTCGGCAATCATGTTCACGCCTCTTGCGTTCGTGTCATGGGTTGTATTCCACTGTATTCATTCTAACTTCTTCTATCAATGAATGATACGCAAAATTTGCGTATTCGCGAAAAAAAGAAGTTGGGATAAGGCAGGAGAAGAGCGGTGGCATTTGGCAACCCCCACAGGTGCACGTGTCACGCAACAGAGGCGGCTTGCGCGGCGAGATATCAGTGTTTTCCAGGATCTGATGGATAAACAAAGATATGGCTTGTAGTGCAGATAAGGCTTGTAGTGCATTCGTGCTTGAAGAAATCAGAAGACAAACGGACAAGTATGTGCGACTTTTTCATTTGAAGACAACGTGATCCTCCGAATTTTCTTGCATCACATTTTTTATATATTTCTTTATATTTTATAAAATACACAGTAGAACGATTGTTCTACAGTCCATGGTTCAAGAAAAAAAGTAGACGAAGTCAAGTCAATTATTTTGACTGAACTCACCCTACCATCAGGCATCGGCACCCTATATATAATCCCGTAGCACAGGTAGCAAATCACATCCACACCACTAGCTCAGCGACACAGGCCTGCAAGCCTGCAACACTCGCTACAAAATGAAGCTTCAGGTAGCCACAGTCGCCTCCTTCGTCCTGGTGGCCTTGGCCGCGGCGGCCCAGGCCGTGACGTTCGACGCGTCGAACAAGGCGTCGGGCACCTCCGGCGGCCGGCGGTTCAACCAGGCCGTAGGCCTCCCATACTCCAAGAAGGTCCTCTCTGACGCCTCCGCCTTCATCTGGAAAACCTTCAACCAGCGCGCCGTCGGCGACCGCAAGACTGTCGATGCCGTCACCCTCGTCGTCGAGGACATCAGCGGCGTCGCCTTCACCAGCGCCAACGGCATCCACCTCAGCGCCCAGTACGTCGGCGGCATCTCCGGCGACGTCAAGAAGGAGGTGACCGGCGTGCTGTACCACGAGGCGACGCACGTGTGGCAGTGGAACGGGCAGGGCAGGGCGAACGGCGGGCTCATCGAGGGGATCGCCGACTACGTGCGGCTCAAGGCCGGGTTCGCGCCGGGGCACTGGGTGAAGCCGGGGCAGGGCGACCGGTGGGATCAGGGGTACGACGTCACGGCGAGGTTCCTTGACTACTGCGACTCGCTCAAGCCCGGGTTCGTCGCGCAGCTCAACGCCAAGATGAAGAGTGGGTACACCGACGACTTCTTCGCGCAGATTCTCGGGAAGAACGTGCAGCAGCTGTGGAAGGACTACAAAGCCAAGTTTAGAGGCTGAACGCACTATAAGTTGATGGGTCCTTCACGGTGTGATGGCATAACGCACTACTTCGAATAAGACATGTGTGATGGCATAACACACCATATACTGAAATGATCAACAGAACATGTCCCTTACGCTCTGTAGTGAAAGATAAATAAACGATTTCACTAATTCGAAATCGACTTTGAGTTACATGCTACTAGTAGTCTTAAGTTGGCGATACGTGAGTGCGTTTGTGTGGTGGTGTGAGTGTGTGCGTGTTGTAATCGGTTTTCTAGAAAAAACAAAAGGTTGTTTGGACTTGGAAAGTTTTAAAGCTGTTTGCGCACAACATGCTTGGATGGGTGGATTCAAAACCGCTCTGCGTACCACGATTTTTTGTCCTATATTTGTAGAACTAGACAGTGAAGACTTGCAGCATGTTATGGCCCACAAACTGGATCAACTCTGACTGTACTAGTGTTGGATACAAATTCATCGTATGTACTAGCTAGTGGCAGCTAGTTTTGAAATAGAAAACCTTATAAATTAGGTTTTGTTGAATGCATCCCATTTTTTAGATTGTTTTGTGATGAATTTGATTCCAATAATCGAATTCGTTTTTAATTCTTTGATTTGCAATTGGTGTTTCATTGATGACAAGTAGGTCGAAGCTGGAAGAGGGCGATGGATTTGTTTTGCGTCGGGAATGAGCTTTTGCTGGCCAAGTGCCAGGAGATATGCACCTGGTTTCCGAGCGCGAAATCTCTCGTGATGCACTCACTGGGCCTAGCGTTGGAACTGACGACAAACGAGCGGAAACAGTGACTTCCTAAAGGCAAGGAGGTGGTCCCAATTGAGATTCTCATGTGGGCAATGGCAGAGGCGATAGAGTCTCCATACCGTCGACAACGAGCCCGCTGGTATGAGTACCCCTCCCACCCGTCCTCGCCGGATCTGGAGGCGGAAGGGCCGGTGAATTTGCGTATTATCCGGGATGTCGACGAGGTGATGGATGAGGAGTATAGTGACGAGGAGGATGATGACGAAGAGGAGAGCTACCAGGGAGGGTTGCAGATTATCGCACAGGGCGGTGCACAAAGAGGAGGGCGATCATGGGGGTTGGGAGATCATCACTCATCCTGCTCATGAAGACATGAATCTAGCGATTAATTTGGACGACGAGGATGAGTAGATGGTTGATCAGGAGCACTTGGAGGCTGATGCCGGCAATGATCTGGTGCTAGTTACCGTGGACGCCCATGCTGGCTCCCAGAATGCCGCAATAGAGGTGGAGCAGTATGAGTTCTCGGCGCATTTTAAGCAAAATGCTGAATGCTCTCACCGCCACCTGGCTCATCATCTTAAGCGTCTCCAACCCCCACCTAGCTAGTTCTCACGGTCCGACATGTGGATGCACGTTAAACAACAAACAGTGTTATGTCGAGGTGTTTAATCAGCTGTTGAAAGCTATGTTTTGGATCTCCTACGTTGAGTGGGTTTTGCATGTTCAAACATAGTGCCATTTGTAGAACTTGCCAAAATAGCAACATGCAGAACTTACCAAAAACAACATCATCCAAAACTTACTTAAAATGGGGTCAAACTTGCAATGTTGACTTTTTGAAAACTTGTGGTATTGCAAGTTTATGATTTTTCCCATAAACTAGTTGACACAAAAGGGCCACATGCCCGAGGATTTTAATTTTTTAGGCCTTTTTCATTTTCTTTTAATTTCTTCAATCTTGGGTCAAACTTACAAGGTTGATCATTCATACCCAATGGCTTGGAATTTGAACTTTGGTTGTGCCCACTGCATACACCACCAATGCAAAAGCTTAAAATGATTTTATCCAATTTTCAGGACCAAATCACACATGTAGTTCACATTTGAGCAATTCACTATAAATCTAGTAAATTTATGAATATAGCAATAATATTCTGAAATTCATGAAAATTGGTCAGTGGGCTTCCAATATTGTCCACTTTAGAGGAAAAATGAGAAGACCCAATGTTACATCTTATTTCAGGCACTTCCTTCACAAAAATTTCATTTCTGGCACTTGAAAAATGGAAATAATATTTTTTTATCAACAAAAAATGCGTGCCAACATTTTCACACTAGCAACACGAATGGTTGTGCCAAAAATGAGCATGTTAGCTGCTCAGATCCAATGGAAGTGGCCAGGGCCATAGGCATATGCATTCAAATCCATCCAACTTCATACTAGATAACCCATTTTGTGAAGGTTTTTCTAAAACTTGTGGTATTGCAAGTTTATGATTTTCCAATAAACTAGTTGAGACAAAGGGCCCCATACCCAAGGATTTTAATTTTTGAGGTTTCCTCATTTTCTTTGAATTTCTTCAACTTGGGTCAAACTTGCAATGTTGACCATTCATACCAAATGGTTTGGAATTTGAACTTTGGTTGTGTCCATTGTATACACCACCAATGCAAAAGCTTAAAATGATTTACTCCAATTCTCATGACCAAACTACATCACACTTGTAGTTCAAATTTGAGCAATTCGCCATAATTCACTATAAATCCACTAAATCGACGAAATATAGCAATAATACTCTGAAATTCATGAAACTTGGCCAGTGGGCTTCCAATGTGGTCCACTTTAGAGAAAAAAAATGAGAAGACTCAAAGTTACATCTTATTTCAGACACTTTCTTCACAAAAAATTCATTTCTGGCACTTAAAAAATGGAAATAATATTTTTTTACTAACAGAAATTATTTTTGTGCCAACATTGCTCATAGTAGCAACGCCAATGGTTGTGCCAAAATGAGCATGTTAGCACTTGAAAAATAAAAAAAATTAGTGTGTTCTACTTTGGTCAAATAAATGTTAAAAATGTTGCGAATTGAACAAAAAACATTCTATTATAGTAAGTCCATCCATGCTTACTTTGTGAACGAGATGATCATGAATTAAATCATCTCCTTCAGAAAGCAAGTGTTGATGATTTTATTATAATAGAAGTTGTTTAGTGCATCTAAATGACAAAGATGCTATTTAAGATGGTCTGTGAGCCTTTCACACGGCGATGTGGGACTAAACTGCATCAATTTGTACGTTTGGTTCCCTTGGTTTCATCGGGAGTACGCTTGGGTGAGGCGCATTCAGAGAGAAGAAAACTTACATAGAGGGCCAACACTATGCAGCCTGGCCCACCTTGGGGCAACCCTGTCTTAAACCTCGCCCCTAGTGGCACAGGAGGGCGCGTCCGAGAGCACCTGCTCCTGCTACACGCTGTCGAGGTCTTCTTCATCCACAACTCTACGCCAAGAGACAGTTACGATACCACGAGTGCGAATCTATCTACTTTCCATCACATTCCCCTCCTCTTGCTTGATCTCTAACCATGACCGAGAACACCATCGACGCAGCCTAAGTGCTATCATCGACGCACCACCATGTCCTTTAGCTTCGCATCAACGACGTGAACCTATCCGGCAAAGATCGCAAGACCGGACGCCCTGAATCGTCACCGTCGTGGCCTTTTTCACTGTCTATAGCTGGCATCACCGCTGTCGATTTGTCACCTACTATCCATCCCCGAGCTCGATATTGTGCTGTACAACCTTACCGTGAGCTCCATAGATTTTCCCTCCCTCCTTGTGAACGTTTACGTGCCATAGTGCCATTAACCGTGAGCCCCCTTTCCCGAGCACGCACGAGCTCATGATGACGCTCCGGTGACCATTTGGTCATCTACCCATGTCAAACTGCACCTCACGTAGTCGTAGAACGATGCTATACTTCTTGAGCTTGCGTTGGTTTTTCCCTTAAATATGAAAGGGTGATGCAACAAAGTAGAGATAAGTATTTCTCTCAGTTTGAGAATCAAGGTATCAATCCAGTAGGAGAAAACGCACAAATCACCTAATACCCGCACAAACAATCAAACAACTTGCACCCAACACGATAAAGGGGTTGTCAATCCCTTCACGGTTACTTGCAAAAGTGAGATCTGATAGAGATAGATGAAACTAAACAAAAGGTAAAGTAAATATTTTTGGTATTTTTGGTTTATAGATCAAAAAGTAAAATATTGCAAAATAGTATACCAGAGACTAATACTGTAGATCGAAAACTTCTATGGTGGAAAATGGACCCGGGGGCCATAGGTTTCACTAGAGGCTTCTCTCATGATAGCAAATAATACGGTGGGTGAACAAATTACTGTCGAGCAATTGATAGAAAAGCACAAATTTATGATGATATCTAAGACAATGATTATGAACTATAAGCATCACATTCGTGTCAAGTAGACTGACTCCTGCCTGTATCTACTACTATTACTCCACACATCGACCTACTCCTGCCTGCATCTAGAGTATTAAGTTCATGAAGAACAGAGTAATGCATGAAGTAAGATGACATGATGTAGAGGAATAAACTCAAGCAATATGATGTAAACCCCATCTTTTTATCCTCGATGGCAACAATACAATGCATGCATCGCTACCCCTACTATCACTGGGTGAGGACATCGCAAGATTGAACCCAAAGCTAAGCACTTCTCCCATCGCAAGAAAAACCAATCTAGTTGGCCAAAGTAAACCGATAGTTTGAAGAGAATTACAAAGATATCAAATCATGCATATAAGAATTCAGAGAAGATTCAAATAATATTCATAGATAAGCTGATCATAAATCCACAATTCATCAGATCTTGACAAACACACCGCAAAAGAATAGTACATCGGATAGATCTCCAAGAACATCGAGGAGAACATGGTATTGAGAACCAAAGAGAGGGAAGAAGCAATCTAGCTACTAGCTATGGACTCGTAGGTCTGTGGTAAACTACCCACGCTTCATCGGAAGGGCAATAGAGTTTATGTAGAAGCCCTCCATGATCGAATCTCCATCTGGCAGGGTGCCGGAACAGGACCCTAGATGAGATCTCACGGGTACAGAAGGTTGCGGCAACGGAGAAGTGTTTTCATGGATGCCTTTGGTGGTTTGGGAATATATAGGCGAAAGAATTAGGTTAGGGGAGTCACGGGGGGGCCCA